CACTAAACCACAATAAACATGTTGGGGGTGTACATTTTAATGGGTTTCCTTATGACATTTTCATACATTTATATAATGTACTTGATCATATTAACCATAAAGGGATCTTTTTAAGGCATAAACCCTCACAGATGATAGAGTAGGGAACATACAACAACAATACAATTTTTGAAACTTGAGGGGAAGTGAATGAGAAGTCATTGAATTATCAGATGTGAGAAAGTCAACAGTTATGAAAGTTTCAAATCAACTGAACTGATACTTTCAAAATCTTGCAAGACTGAGGAGTGTTGGTACCAAGTACTAGTAAAAGTAGGAGTTGAAGGAAACCGAAATAAGGATACTTTATTGAAAGTTGCTTAAGAAGCAGTTATATCCCCATTACATGATCTTGAACAACTATCACTTCTCTATTCAAACAAAGTGTAAGGCGGTTCCAAGTATTTAGGAAAGGATGAGGAGGTTTATTCTTTGCAGAGTTAAATCGGAGTTTTGAGAACTCCATCAACAGGGTAGAAGGATTGAGTGAATTTATGCAGACTGAATGCTGAACCCTTCTCCTATGCACGTAGCCTTCTTCACCTTCATCAGCATTTTATCTTTCTCCACTTGCATTTAATGAGACAACAAAGAATTATCAGATATCTGAATAAAGATTTTGGTGTGATAAATATCAAAACCAGTAAATGGGAAAAAAACAACTTTAAAAAAACAGATCATACAAAGATAAGAAAACGTAAAAGAAAATATAATTAATATTTTCAAATAACTAAGAGAATATATTATATCATTAAAGGAGGAATAGGATGCTCTAAAAAAAGAAATATTCAGGAGACTGGCAGAGTAGCTCAAGTGGTAGAGCACCTGCCTGGCAAGCATGAGACCCTGAGTTCAAACCCTAGTATTGCAAAAAAAAAAAAAAAGAAAGACAGAAATATTCAGACAGCCACAATCAACAACAATAGCATAAATAAGAACAATAAAAAGTTGGAAGATAGCCACCCAGTAATCCTATCTACTTGGGAGGCTGAGATTGGGAGGATTTCGGTTCAAGGCCAGCACAGTCAAATACTTCACAAGGCTCTCCTTTTCAAAATAACCAAAGCAAAATGGACTGGAGGCGTGGCTCAAGTGGTAGAGCACCTGCTTTGCAAGTGGGAAGCCCTGAGTTCAAACCCCAATCCCACCAAAAGAAAGAGAGAGAGAGAGAGAGAGAGAGAGAGAGAAAACTTGTTTGAAAATAACTGCTTTTTTGAGGTGTAATTCACATGCCATACAGTTCACCCAGTGGTTTTTAGTATATTTACAGTTGTGCAATCATCCTCACAATCACTTTTAGGACATTTCACCACCTTCAAAAGAAATCTCATACCCATTAGCATTCACATCTCATTTACACCCAACCATCTAACCTAGGCAACCACCAATGCTATACTCTGTCTTTATGGATTTGCCTATGCTGGACATTTCGCATAAATGGAAATACATAATGTGGTCCTTTGTAACTAGCTTCTTTCACTTGGAATAATGTGTTCATGTTCCATGCATGTTGTAGCATGTATCAAGATTTTCTTTTTATTGTCAAGTAACGGTCCATTGTAGGAAGACCACATTTTATTTATCCATTTATCAGTCAAGAGACATTTTAGTTGTTTCTACTTCTTCACTATGATGAATAATGCTTGCTATGAACATTTCTGTGCAGGTTTTTCTTTTTTGGTCTTATTGGGGTTTGAACTCAGAGGCTCATGCTTATAAAGCAGGCTCTATACTGTTTGAACCACACCTCCAGTCCATTTTGCTGTGGTTATTTTGGAGATAAGGTCTCTTGAACTATTTGCCCAGACTGGCCTTGAACTGCAATCCTCTCTACCTTAGCTTCTCGAGTAGCAAGGATTACAGATATGAGCCACCAGCACCCAGCTCCTCTGTATGCTTTCATGTTCCTTGGTTAGACATCTGAGAGTAGAAGTTTTGGGTCAAATGGTAATCTAAATTTAACTTTTGGAGGAACTGGTGGACACTTTTCCAAAGCACTGCAGCATTCTATGTTCCCACCAACAATGCATGAAAGTTCTAATTTCTCCACATTCTCACCAACCTCTGTTTACTGTCTGACTTTTTTATGATGGCCATCCTAGGGAGTGTAAGTAGTACCTCATTTCAGTTTTGATTTGCAATGATTTAACTTTTAAAAATATACTAGATTAGAAAAAATAAAATAGGCTGATAAAACCCTGTGTTGGCAAGGCTTTGAAGAAGCAAACATTCTTTTTGGGGGTGTGGCTTGGTACAAATTTCAGAAAACACTTAGGTACAGGTTGAGTGTCTGTTATCCTAAATGCTTGGGGCCAGCATATTTTTGGACTTTTTAAAATTCGGAGATATTTATGTATATATAATAAGATACCTTGGGGATGGGATCCAAGTGTAAACATGCAATTCATTTGTGTCATATATACTTATATGCAGAGCCAAAAGGTCATTTCATATAATACTTTTAGTGTGGCTGCATTTTGGCTTCATTTTGACTGCAATCCATCATATGAGGTCAGGTGTGCCATCAAGTTGGCACTCAAAAGGTTTCAGATTTTAGAGCATTTGGGATTTCAGATTAGGAATGCTCAATCTGCATATCAGAATGTGAAATGTACTTAATCTCTCTGACCAGATTTCCCATTTCTAGGTATTTAACCTAAGGGGAAAAAACATGTATTTGGGGGAAAGTGTGTCTCATTTACTATTGTTTATAAACTCACAATGTCAAAAACTTTGAAACTAACTTAAATATCTGTAAAGAGCAAATAGGTAAAATTAATTTTGATGCACAAATAGGATATCTAGGCAATTGTTACAAATAATAATGCAAGTAGAATGTATTTTTATTGCCATGGGAGACTACCCCATATTGAGAGGGACAAAAATCAAGTTATTGAATAACTGAAATAGAAGATTCCAGTTGTGTGAAATATCTATATGCCTAGAAGATTCTTTTGGAATGATGTCCAAAATGTTAACAGTGATTATATTCCTAGTGGTGGAAATTTAGGTGGGTTTTTTTGTATTTGAGTTAAAAATCAGTCTATAATTTTTTGAGAAAATTATAAAATGATTTGAAAAGACTATGCATTTTAGAAGTCACATGTTTATATTTGATCAAGTCTTAAGTTTTAGTTAAATAACCTTCCCCATCATTATTTCTTAAAACATCACAGCCATCTACTAAATGCATAAAAAAATTCATTCTTATGGTGATTATATTCACTTAGCATAGAACATTGTCTCTTCCTTCAGAGAATTTTACTGTGTACTTTGATCTTTGTAGAGTTTTTTTTTGTGGAGGTGTGCCAGGTGTTAGGACTCTGGGGCCATTTCAAAGCTCAAGGGTAGGAAGGAGCCTGTAAAAATAATTGTCCATCTAGTCTAGTTATTGGGATAATTGCTTTGAGTTCACACCTTCCCTCTTCGACTGTTCTATCCCCCCTTGTAGGAGAATCACATTAACAACTTTCTTTTTCTTTAAGCTTATTATGAGTTAGCAAGCTGTTCTAAACACATCACATGTATTTTTCTCATTTAGTCCTATGAGGTTGATATTGCAATTATGACATTTGACAGATGAGGAGCCTGAAGCACAGAGAAGTTAAGTAACTTGTCCAAAATCTCTCAGCAGAACAGGAACTGGATCCCCGAGAGTCTGTTTCCAAAGCACCTGTGATCTTAACTGCCAAGTTCCACTGCCTCTCTGACTTTCTTCTAAATATGATTCCAAACACTTCTGCTTGTTTACCTTGTTTTTGCACAAGCTGTCCTTTCTACCAGAAATGCCAGAGAGAGACTGAGATGGTGAGTCCACCTGCCTGGGCTTTCCTGCCACAAGTGCTTTATGGAGTTACCTCTCTGCCATTTGTTGAATCTCTTAGTTACTTACATTCCCTTAACATCTTCTCTGAAATGTTTGGATTTCTTACTCCTTGAATTTGGAGGTTCATCTGGGGGAAAAAATTAAGTCTTTTTTTATACCTTCCAGTTTTCCAGCAGCAGAGTACTTAGTGCTGAAACAGAGAGCCCTGGCTGGTGTTTCCCAATGCAGGATGCCTGGGAGCTCTGCCTGACTGTTGAGCCTGATTACTTGGGAAAAAAACATAATTTTATAAGGTTATACTCTATGCTAATTACCAGAATGATACAGGCTTGTAAAATTTTGGAAAATACAAAAAAGTATAGACAACAAAATGAAAAGCACTTACAGGTTATACCATCCTGTGATAACCACTCACAACTGAAATTTCCAAGCATATTTGCCTTTTCTCTAAGCAATTCATATCCATTCATGAAAGCTAGGTCTTCTAAATAAATTTGTAGGTGATAATTTTAGAAAATTCCCATATATGCAATTTAGTAGGTAAGATTATTGTTAAATTTAAAGCTGTGCCAAAGTTGGTGAAATGAAAATTTCTTAAATTTATACTCATTTTATTTTTTTATTTAAAGGAAATAACTACGGATGTTTTAAAACATTAATATGAAAAATTATAAAAGGATATAATGACCTCAGTAGTTGTACTTGCCCCTATAAAAGTGATTTTTTCATTTACTTTTTTGCTTTAACAGGACTGAATAAATATTGGACCTCAACTTTTACTTATTAATTTTATGTGATCCTGATTAAGATCTACTTGAAATACCACCATAATTTAACTTTTGATATTATAATTTTGGTTGTTATATTTTTTTCTTTTGTTATGAGCAAAATTTATTTAGGATATTTTACTACTACCTTGGGGAAAAGGGTTGTAAATCTCACTCCATTATGAAAGCAACAACAGCAAAAAAAAAAAAAAAAAAACTCATATGGTGTGACTTATGCCAAGTAATAACTATGTATATGTTAAGTTTGATTCCAGTTGAAATAGCTTGTACTCAGGCTTATTTCTAAAAGCCATTTTGTAACAGAATGACTTCTATAATCCAAACATCTATCCTCTTGTGTTTTCTAGGCATCTGGCCGTCTGAAGAGGTTTTGGCTTACTACTGCCTCAAGCACAGTAATATATTCAGGTACAGAACTGTACTTAAAAGATATTTGTTAGCCCATCAGGGATATTGAATCTGCATATTAAAAATAGCCTGGTTTGCATTCTTCAAATTAAATTGTTAAAAAGAAAGAAAGGAAAAGGAAAAGAAGGAAAGAAAAAAGTTCACAGTGAACACATGTTGCTTCTGAAAAGAAATCTGCATTGCCTTTGGGTACTAATATTGCACAGCAAGCTTTTTGCTATATGTCAAAGGCTTTTGATTTCCACTCAAGGCATTTTATTTCACTTTGATTTGGGGGAAACAAAAGCCAAGCGCCAATCAATCCTTACTGATTGTGAAGGTCAAAATAAATAAATAAATAACACACAAAACCACATAACCCACAATAAAGACATTCTTTAAACTTCTTCTAGGGAAGTCACTACAGAATATTTGATAAATACCTCACAGCCATTATTTAAAGATATCGTCTCACCTCTTGTTTTAAAGGTATTTTTATGTACTTTACAATATGTATTTGTGAAATATAAATTACTATTTAGATTAAAATACTATAAAAATAAAACATTTTCAACTATTAGTATGCATTTTATAGATCAACCCATGGATGGGGTTTAGGAAAAAGAGAATTTAAAAACTCTAAAGATGTTTTGTAGACCCAAAAAATACAGGTTTTTCATTTTAATTCTCATTTTACAAAAGTCATCCAATATATACTTCCTTAATAGCCCATTATGATTCAAGATTAGCCACTAGTTATCATGGTGTCTGTTTTAACAATATGTACTTACAAGATTGGGTCAATAATATGTATTTTTTGAAGCTCTGTGGGTCCATATTTATCAGCCAGTCTATAATTGCTTCGAACAACTAAACACTCATTAAGTGTATTTCCAAATATGAATGTCCTCTCTTGGCTTCTTCTCCTCCCCCTTTCTCCCTCTCCCCCTTTCTCCCTCTCCCCCTCTCTCCCTCCCCTTTTAATTTTGCTTTTTTTTTTTCTCCTCTTGAGGTAATAAACTTCCCAAACTGGGAAGAAGAAACAATCTTAAGAGTCTAAGCATATAAAATAAGAACAGGGCAATTCTGAATTTGGGCTGCAGAGCTGCCCTGGAAGTCTGGCATTTGCTCATCTCGCTGTGCTTAAGCTTGATGGAGCTCCAATCAGCGAGCAGTGGGCCAGGGCGAGAATGTCACACATTGAGGGCTGATATTTAGGCACAAAGGGGAAGGTAAGTGCAGAATGGCACAGTAGACTGTCAGCTTTAACTCTGAGCGGCTTTCCTTTTGAGCAGTGAAGCCAGAGCCCAGTCATTACTTCAGCCTGGGTTTGCTGGCTTAACCATATTATGTCCCTGCATTGTTTATTTGCTGTGTTGTGTTGGGGTCAATTGTGATTTAAGTGTTAATTGCTAAATGCTCTTTGTGTAATTGTGCTTTATGGGGTTGGTTCAGCTTTCCAGAATGTTTCGGCTTGTTTTAGAATTAAAAAAAAAAAATTCAGGATTGCATTTATTTGTGTCTGTGTGTTGTATGTGACTATAATATAGGTATATACACACTCACATATATTCTTCGTTTACTTGTCTAACTGTTTTTGAAGGCATGAATGTGGATTAACAATGTTATCCTTTCCTAGCAATTATCTTTCGCTACTCTAGCTAGTTTAGTTCTAAAAGACAGAGCCATTGACAAGGGGAAAAAAAGGGAACCTTCTCAGATTTTTCAGCTCAGCGGTGGTAATGTTGCAGTGAACACTAATGAGGGAACCCCCACTGATTTGCCTGCTTTGTGACTTTTCTATTTCATAATTATTTTTAAAACGCAAAACGAAATGAGGTAGCCTAGTCATGTCTCCACAACTTCCTGGTAGCGCCGTTCTTAATGCAGATGGCAATTTGTTCTTGTAACATATATATCTCTCTGACCATTTTCATCTAATTTGTATGGGTTCTACCATTTCTTTTCTCTCTTTCAGGGACCTTGCTGTGTGTGAGCTAGGGGGTGGCATGACATGCTTGGCTGGGCTCATGGTAGGTCTTTTCTCAATTCCAATCCCATTCAGAGGGAGGAACAAAAGGAAAAATGTTCCAGGGCCTCCAACTGCTGGGTCAGAGAACCGTCAACAGCCTCAGCTGCGGTCAAGCTGCCGGGTCTTGAGAGACCTTCTAGATTGACTTACTTTCGGATCATATTGATTTTATGGTTGCCTCGATGAGCAGAAACATTTTACCTCAGTGTAGTCAATATCGCTTGTTGTGACATTCCAGGCCTCGCACAGTCTTTCTTTGCCATAGCAAAAGCATTTTTTTTTTCAGATTATAGTCCCATTTGCTAAGATACAGGAATAGCCCGGCGAATCACAGTTGGAGCACCATGATATAGCTGCTAATGTTTTGCCTGCATTATTACACCAACAAACATGATCCAGAGCGCTCAGTAATTAGATTCTTTTGAATTAGATTGGCCATTCAGGAACGTCGTTCCCCATTCTCTGGGTTCTGAGTCATGTATTCAGGAGATATTATGTAGCAGCACAGTGCATTAGACAAGTTTTTATGTCTCTACAAATAAAAGCATATTGTTACACTGATTGGCATTTGACAAACCTGTCGCTCTTATACAATGTGTCGAGGTTACAGCCCAATGTGCGAGCATGTCAAAGCTCACAAAAAAATTACCCTCACAAAGCCATCTGCCTGCAATGCAAAGTTATATGAAGGGCATCAGGCAGTCAGACAGAAGCAGGCTGAAAGGCAGAGTGACAGCCTTGTATGATGGCTCTACTAGATAAACAGAAGCCCACAAATGAAAGCCTCTCTCAGAATACCATCATCCGCTGTCACAATGCAATTACCGAACAGAATGATAGCAAGATAGAGGCTCCCGCAAATGGAATGATAAAAGTATTGACTGATTTGATTGAATGATTAAAATAATGCAGACATAAAATGAAAAAAGATTGAAGATTGTTACAGAGAAATAGGTGAGGAAGCATGATACTGAAGGCTTGTCACTCCTGTCTTCACTTCCACACAGACAAGCATATTTGCTCATTGTTTGCTGTGCTCCCTTTTTTTTTTTTTTTCAGGTTGCTATTTCTGCAGATGTCAAAGAAGTTCTGTTAACTGATGGGAATGAAAAGGCCATCAGAAGTATCCTTATTCAGATAGAAAACGGGTTTGTTGTGTTCATTCCTTTTTCCTGGCTGAGTAACAATTGATATAAAGAAAGGCAGCATGGGGTTTTAAAAAAAGAGTTCCCCATACACACACACACGATAAGTAATTAAGAAAAAGTAGAAATATATGAATTCCTTGCATATGACTACATGGGTGATTTTTTTTCCCTTTTGGTAGATTTTTATACACACTTATTAAAGGAGCTTATGTTTCTAAAGGCAATATGAAAATTTATTTCATAACAATTTTCAAACCCTTTGATCTTTTCTTTAAGATTTTCCAGCACAAAATAAATGTAGTATTGATTCCATTTGATATTGCTTGCCAATATTAACTTCCAGCTTGTATGCATTTAATATTATACATGCCATGTAATATTGTACCTATCCTAATTGCCAAGGAGTTACCTGTATCTCCCACTGGAAGCAGCCATCAACTCTTCATTATTTCCTATTATTTAGGATTTTAAAGCTATCTCTTTTTTTTTCCTACTATGCTATTACAGTTCAACTCCATTACATTAGATTATGCTTTACTAATATGTACACAGAGTTCATGAAAATTGAACTGTACTTTAACTAAGAAAGCAAGCATAATTTGTGGCTACTTTGGCACTCAAGCCGATTTGCTCAGGGGCAGTTAACAGCCATTCGAAATTGAGAGGAATAGTGGAAGATCTGTTTGCTTTGGATTTTTTTTTGGTGTGCCTTGCTTACATGATGAAAGAGGAAGTCTCCTTATTTGAATTTTTAGACGCTGAAAATGCCAAAGCAGCTTAAATTTTTGTGACATCTTACATAAAACCTATTTTCGATTTTCTTTTTCTTCTTCTGCTCTATAATTTTTTGAAAATAAAATTTGCAGCAGCTCCATCAGCTGCTTGCATAAGAGGAAAAAGGAACAAGAAACACAGTAGCTAATATTGTACAGCAGTACTGTGTGCTCTACAGAGCCCCACCCAGCTAATTGCCTGACAGCCCAAAAAAAAAAAAAAATCGGTAAGGAAAAACAACCTATCACAATCTTGGCCTTTCACACAAGGGAAAGAGATCACAAAAGGTGCGTCCCTTTTAAAATGCAGGATTTTAATCATGATCTTAAGACTGTCGAAAGTTTTTCAAAATATTCCTGAAGATGAGCTGATGTTGTTTCATTCACTCTGCCTAATTCTGAGTTATTCTGGGCCTGTATCATTTCATTGTGCTCCTCTTCCTTATGTCAGGGAACACCAAGAGCAAAAGGAAGTTCAGGTGCACCAGCTCAGCCCCAAGAGATGTTTTTGTTGGGGGGGGGGGAGGCAGGAATATTGAGCAAGAAAAAGGTATATTCATCACAGAAACTTTGAGATTGGGCCCAGTATTCTGAGTTTTTTTCTTTTTTTCTTGAGTCAGCAGGAATCATTTAATAGCATCAGAAGCCAATTAAACTTTTTATCAAACTATGGGAAGCATCTGCAGTCAGTATGTAAATTTAATTGTACTGAAATTATTATTGGGCTAAACTACTGAGCTTCCAAAGAAGCAAAGCAATGCTAATGTCATTAATTACCGCACCTTTGCTTTAAGCAGCAAAGATGCCATGCCAGCTCTTGAAATCAGAGAGGAAGTCTCAGATTCTGCATTCACTCTGCTGGCCTTTCAAAGAAATGATTGGTACAGCCCCCTCCCAAGAAAATGGATTTTTAACATTTGGTCCTCAGAAGCTCAGCCCTGAGAGTGCTTTATTGTGCTGGGGTTTACAATGGGTTTAATATAGCGGGGTGCCAAAGGGCAAGAGGGGAAGAACTTTACAATGTAGATAAAGTAGGTCCTTTCAGGATGCAAACCAAAACTGCCCTGTGTTTTATTTCATCTCTTAGGACTTTCCTGATAGAGTTCTGTTTTTATCATGTAGTTGTTCTATGTTTGTGTGCCTTTTTCTGTTGTAACTAGATCTAATTTTTATTAATTAAGGGAGAAAAGCATGCATAAAGCCTTAAAATTGGCAATGTGTTTTTCCTGCTTTTAATACTAATGTTGTTCTTGATTTGCTAACAGAGCTTACAATGGGCATCGGTTGTAATCTGTTTTACTGAGTGAGGTTAATATGAGTGAATTCTCCGCCCCCCCCACCCCGATTTGTGTGCCCACTTTCTGTAAGAATAACTAATTCACTGAATCACATACTATTGATGCATATAGATCGAAACAAACTCATTTAAAAATTACTGTTTACATCTTCCCTTTAAAATTTTAGGAAGCCTAAATTATATAGCAGTCGTAGGATATTATCCAGAAATTACTTTCTAAAAAGTAAAAGTGGATGTCAACAAAAAAGGGAGGGGGGAAACATTGCCAGAAGCCAGAAAATCTCTAAGCAAAGCTGCTAATTATTGTTAATGGGCAAGATGAGCACATTAAGAAACAAATGAATACATCAGTGAGATGTAATTGAAAATCGACCTGGTGATCACACATCTCATCTGAGTATTGGCCTGTATACTATGCTCATCATTTAAAAAATTATTTTTGTTATTCTTGGCTTCTGAATTTAATGAATCCAACTGAGTCTTACTTCCTAGCCTCATACGCTTCTAAGATTCTGATTTTTACCTTTTTTGAAAAAAGAAAAAAAATAGGCTTTTTATTATTTCCTTTTAATCTTCTGTTATTTGTTTTTTAATATGTGAGGCAATGAATGGATTAGTTCTGAATCTTTATATCATAGAAGAATGTCAACTAATTGTGAAGTTATTTATTATCTTCCCAAAATGTATCAAATGGATTGGCTATGTCTTCTAGAGCTCTCTATCTTGACCCTGGAAAGCTTGATGTTGATCTCAGATTTATTAAACAGAGATATCTGAAAAGAGATTAAGACTCAAGGTAAAATGAATTTTCTGTCTTGAATATTTTCTCAGACTCATGGGTAGGTTTCCCTGAGGTTCTCTTGATCCTTAAACTGCTTGGCTGGGTTTAACCCAAGAACCTCTCTACAAGAAAACTATCTTTCCCTAAAGACAGAATTTTGTCTGTATCCCAAGAGAACAAAGGATAGGTTGGAAATGGGATCATTTAGCTCTCCAGTTCTCAAATTTATTCTAAAATAAAGGGAAACATTTTTCTTTTTCTTTGGCATTGTCCTTTTCATGTGGTAAAAAGATTTCCAAGTGCTCACATATAATAATTCCTTACTAAGGTCCGCTGGTGATGTAAGAATAAGAGAGAGGAGTGGTATACTCAGTTATGTTGAGGCTAAGTTTTTTTTCAATGCATAAAATAAAAGTAAAACACCAAAAGCCAATCTCCCTCTCCAACTGCAATCACTAGTTCACCCCATGCAAACCTCTGCCTTGGCCCCTCCTTAGTAAATGTCTAGCATGTTGTCTGCAGGATATGCCAATGCTTGGTAACCCATTTGTCTGTGCTCTTGACCTAAGCATCTCATCTGCACAGTATGTATGCACAGTCTACATCATGATTTTGAGCTTAGAATTCTCTAAAAACAGGTGAATCTCCTGTGCTGTTGAAAGGAGATATTCCTGGCTTAATATTTTCTTTAGCAGAATCCCTGAATTTTATAATTGATAAATGAAGCTTCATGCAGACTGTTCAGCCTGTACAGTGGATGGCTGAGAACTTGGGAATCCCAGGCCATTATCCTGTGACCAGCCCTTCTTCCAATATTGATGCCAGATGTACTTGTGTCTGCCTGATGAGTCACAAGTAAGCTCTACATGCCTCACTTTGGGTAGAAGCTCAACAAATACCTTTTTAATTGAATTAAAATTTATTCAGCCAGTATTAACTGCATGCCATTTTAGATGCTAAAGATACAGCAGTGGACAAGACAGACCTAGACCCTATCCTTGTGTGATCCAGATTTTGCCATGACTAGAGCGCATGTGAAAGACACTGAAAAACTACAGAGAGAAGTTCTTTGACTCCTTCTATAGATTTCAATTCTACAATATAAATGTAGAATTTACATTTCTGGGACAGAAAAATAAAGCTTAACTGCCAAGCTTCATTTTAGATGCCATCATTAGTCTCTTCATCCTATTAAAGCTATTTAAAGATGATAATTAATTGACATGAATTAAGCACCTACTATGTGTTGAACTTATCATATGGAACATCCCCCATTCAACCTATAAAATAGGTGTCATTATTCCTGTTTTAGAGATGGAACTTGGAGAGGTTAATTTATTCAACGTCACACACCCACTGAATATCAAAACCAGCACTAGAAACCAGGTTCATTTGACTTCCAGGCTTTTCCCTGGAAACCATTCTGTTTCACCAAACATGAGAATGATTGGGTGAGTGTCAGCACCTTCTGGAAGAAGTCTTTCATGCATAATAGTTGGCATTGCTAACAGGCAGTTCATAATGCCTCCATGTTATTCTCTCAGTTTATTAGAGTAATAAGCACATTTAAGAATACTTTGCACTATTATAAAGAATAAATCCTTGCTAAAATTTTAAAAAGAATACCTTGCAGCCTACACCAGCAAATTCTGTCATATTGAGCCTTGCAAAAATCATTTAGAGATCAAAATTAATAGGCATTATATTGTAATCTCACAGTTTTCTTCTCTCACTTTTAGGGCCCTAATGAAAATAAAAATTGCAAAAACCAGGAAAATGATGCTTTGTGAATCACCATGTTATTATTTTTTAAATATTTTTTGGCTTAAAGAACAATGCCAGCTCTGAAAATGCATATATAACTACTGATAAATAGAACAGTCACTAATTATAGGAAGAGGCTAATGTAGTCAGTAATGTTTTATGGATGTAGAACATACATGTAATTTGATTAAATAACTGTTTGCTAGTCTATGCAAACATGTATTTTAAGAATAGATATCCACTGAAAACTAAGATGGAATCCCACTCCTGAACCATGCTTTGTTTGAAAAGAAAATCTAGAAGTCCGCTTTCCTTTTAGCCACGAGTGTACATCCTGCAGCTCTGGAAGTCCAGTTGCCTAGACAAGGGAATTGGAGGTGATTGCTCTCCATCATTAGTCAGAAATCGCATTAGGATTTTCATTGCACCAACCCCTCCCACTGAAATCTTCCAGAAGGTGAGTGCAGTTCAGAGAACATGGTTTGGTTTGTTGTGTTGAACACTATCCTGGACATATTGACTTGGTTTGATTGGATTTCCTTTATTACCCTGAGGTGACATGAAGGATGATTAAAACTTTTATTGGACACTGTGCTATCCAAAAGGACCATCAAAATCTGACCTCAAGTCAGGGTGGGAAGTAGAATGTCAGAATGTATCTCTTAGGGTAATATTTTAAGACACTTCAGACATTTTTCTCTTCATACCTATCTTAATATAAAAAACATCTCCTAAACCACAAAATGTATTTCCTGCCCAGTTCTAAAAATAAAGCAGCCTAAATACTGCTGTGATTTTTTTCATTAAAAAAATTGCTTTTAGAATATGAATACATATGCTTGCTCCAGCCTGATCACCTGGAGTTACAGGTTTATAAAAGTATATAGTGTTAAGATGTTTACTAAAAATTATTAATAGGTTTTCTGAGTTATATAATTTAACTTCCTGTGACTATTTTATAAAAAGTATTACCTCCACTAACAAAATAATATGTTTTGCTTGATAGATTAGTCATGTACTCACACGACACTACAGGTGTACCAGGCACATTATGGCGTGCAGTTGGATGCCATGGAAATGCTGAGTAGGGTGTGGCCAGAGTGTGGGGGAACTTAATCAAAAACAGTTATCAGTTGACTCTTTACTAATTTCGTTCTTCTCAGAATAAAGATGTCAGCTGTCCTCTTCTGCAAGACATTGCATTTAGAAGACTTTCCTGAAATACTTTCTTCCTGAAATAGACAGAACTGTAGGCCGATGTGTCATTTTAGTTAATCAAAACAAGAAGGCAAATTAGTCTCCTTTATTTTTTTAATGAATGTAATTTAACGGTATTTAATTTGCATACACGAAAGTTCACCCAGGAAAAAAAAAAAGTCTGCATTATAGCACTTTTGTAAACCTCAACAAAGCCCTTCATTAGGAGACCTAATTGATTTTTCCTACCCACTCCTGAGGAAAGAAAGCTATCACAGTACCTGCTTATTCACTCAGAGAAGAAATGGGTGTGCTTGGTGGTTCAAGCAGAGATTTGGGTTAAAAAGTCCTGTGGCTCTGTTCTTACAGGGAGACCTTGGCCAATGCTTGCTTTGAGCATTTTGGAAATCTGTTTTTCTGAGCAATAGGGGAACATCGCTTGTCTGCTTGGTGTCCTCCCCATGGGCCCAATTTAGTTCAGCTTGCAGCCTTCACTGGAATTATTTTATTTCTTGTTTTATTTAAACCTGCCTATTCCAGAAGAGGGATTTTTGAGGTTTCTTACAGTAACACTTGAAATGTACCACACGAAATAAATGAGAACGTGAGAGTATTTGATAATTAGGAAGCCAGAAAAATATGATGAAGCAAGGGACAGAGGTCAGTGCAGAAAGTATATGCCTTAGGAGCTCTTCTGATTGTTAGAGTTAGGACATACATTAGGCTTTGATGTACACAGAGGCCAGACCAAAGAAAGAACAAAAAGCAACAATTATAAAATTTATAGTGCCCAGGAATTGAAGTGTAGCTTTTCCTCGTGTTGAAACCTGTATAATTTTTTCCCATGGGTCCTCACATAGGTGGCATTGGGTGATATAAGGGACCAGCCCCTCAAAATAGCTCTTGGATGACATGACTCTTTTGTACAAGTCCTTCCATACCAGCAGAAAACCGAAGGCCAAAGCATAGTCTGTAAAGACAGTTCTTTAAGGAACCTTTCATGAGATTGACTCTCTTCTTCAGTAATTCATTTTCTCTCAAAGATGCTCCAAGCTTTTCTCCCAAGTCTTTCCCTGCTGCTCATCCCCACTCTCCCTATCAGCACTTAGGAGATTGGAAAACTTCAACTTGGAAAGTCTCTGAAGGCTGACATTGCCCTCCTTACTGACAGAAATATGCATGCCTTTATTAAGTGGAGCTTGGCATCTCTGCAGCAGTCATTCTCCACTAACACCTGCACTTTGGGCTTTGCCATGATGCTACCTAGATGTACATTTCACAGATGACAAAACTGCATCCCAGGGAATTAAAAGATTTTGCTTGTGGTAGGTAAGTCAGCATTTGGTGGTAGATCTAAGGCCATACCAACCTCCTATCTCAGATTCTACAGCTCATCTCTTTTCATTGTATTGACTCTGTTTTGATGAGAAGGTTGCTGTTTTTGTGGAATTTTTTAAGGTCAGTTGATAATCACTGCGAAACTTTTCTTAACTATGTTCTATAGATGTGAGAGATATCATCACAAGCAATCAGAAGGATGGTGTGTTTAAAGCTCGGAAAATATCAAGCTGGTAAGATACCTCTCTACATGGAAACATCCCACTTAAAACTGGTTTTTCTTTATACAATGGATGAAATAATAGTAACTAACATTTGTTGAGCACTTACCATGTGTTAGGTACTGTTCTAAGCATTTTACAGGTGTTACCTCAATCAAACTTACCAGAACCCTTTTGAGACAGGCAGAAACTCATTACCTCCAACTAATAGTTGAGGAAACTGAAGTATATAAACACCGGGTTGTGGATGGTTTAATGGTTGAGATTTACAGTATAAGGTTGGGAGAAGCCCAGCCTGGGCCCCTCTTAAATGTAGTTTCAAGGTTGAGAAACCTCACTCTAGTCTATAATTTTAAAATAGTCTAGGAATCCATTCTCTCTCTCTTTTTCTCTCTCTCTCTCTTTCTCTCTGTCTTTTGGTGGTATGGGTGTTAGAACTCAGAGCCTCGTGCTTTCTCTACCGCTTGAGCCACTCTGCCAACACAGGTTCTGTTAATTCTTAACCAAAGTAGGAGAAATGTTGGCCCTCAATCAAAACAATTGTGTGTTCTGTAATGCTACATTGTACTTACTTTTGCCCTGTTGGTAATGGATGTAGAAAGAATCAGTTTTCATGTGAAAACTACTAAAATATCTGTATTTGTGCTCTCCCTTATATATTTAACTCTATACTTCATTATATGAGCAATTCCTTTTTCAGTTACTTTGTTTATTACTATTATTATGTCATACTTTTGAATATTATTTCTCTATGAAGAGGACACTTTTCCACCTCAATTGCTCAGTTTGGAGTAAAAGGTTGAATGACCAACACAATGCTTAAAATCCAAAGCGGTGCCAGGTGTGATAGTGCTCAGGAAGTGAGGTAGAAGGATAAAGAACTTGAAACCAGCCTAAGCTACATAGTGAGACCCTGTCTCAAAAAAAAATAATGGTAGACATGTCTCTCATTTTAGTTGGTGCATACAGTGAAGTACCCATGTATGTATTTTTAAATCCTTCATTAGAAGGTTTCAAGTAGGCTTATGGTGGGGGAGTAGGGAGCAGTGTATGCTGCATTTCTTATTTAAATGAATAAACCAGTTCTGTTTCCTACAAAACCTCAGCAAGTCCAGAAAAGGAGAAAGGGTCTGCCATTACTTGTGCATCCTTCATTCTTAGGACAGTCTTTCTTTTTCAGGGAAGACCACCATACCTTCTGGAGAGGACTTTAGTTTTGGACATGATTTTCAACCTGGTCTTTTAGTTATCAATCAAAAGCACATTTTCTGTGTTGTCCTCATTTACATTTATGTAATGCTTAAGGTCATGTGTGACCATTTGAGTGTATTTCAGCATATGGAATCAGGGAATAATAGATTTCAGCTTCCTGCTGTGAAGAGAGATTGCATTTTTACAAGACATGATGTTGTTTACTGGGTGTTAATAATCACTAATTAATAAACATCTACACTTCTAAAATATTGCATTTTAAGGAATAAAAATGTCAAGTGTTTAACTTACAGAGTGCAATCATATTTTCTATCATCTCCTCATAAAATAATTAAGTTACATAAAGAAGCCAAATGTTTTTCAACACAGAATATATCCCAGATGTTTATTACATGGCCTTTGTTTCTGTTTTTCTGCTCTCAAAAATGCTGTTTCTAAATATATTGTTCTGACATGAGCTAGGCATACAGTCTATATTTCAGTAGTGACAGAGGCATCTCTAAGGTGAAAGGTTGCTTGTTTGGTTTTTTCCCCCTCTTTATCTTATACTAGTTGTGTTCAGTTTCTTCTCTTTTAGCTACTGCAAGCACTTTGTCCAAAGTCTACTAAGGCACTTGGTGGAAAACAGGTGGATGAGTCCGTCCTTGAAATGCCTTGATCTTATATTAAGGAGCTACTTGACCACTTAACCTTCAAGCAGCTAAGGGAAAGTGCCAGCCAGCGATGTAATAATCAGCGTTCCCCTTCTATCCACTGTTTCCCACCCAGAATCAGTACAATGCAATGAGAGTATTAGTTCCATGAGAGAAGAAATAAAATGAACCATTCACAAAAGAGCTAAGATATAGTTCAATATTCTTTTTTAGTGCCTCAATGCATATGCAGAATTTCTCCTCCAAATTGGAGGTGTGGAATAACAGTAGCGACAGATAACTAGGAGGTATTTACCATAGCTACAAAGCCCACACGTGAGCCAAATATTTCTGCTATTAAAAAGCACTTCAAAGCTTGACATGAAGTTTGTAACAGCTGAATGTCTCTTGTGACTTCATTTGCAAAGAAGATGTAAAAGCTGAAAGGAAAGTCGTGATATGAGAACTGTGAGCCTAAGAAATGGTTTTTTTAGAAAGGAATGAGAAGCTGCCCAGAAATTTGAATGGCACCCCACGCTCCAGTTCACCTACTCAAACAGTATCCTCAGTAACTGCTTTGCTTTGTTTGGATAACTGTCCACCAAAAGTCCATATGCTAAAGTCTTGGTTCCTAGCTTGTGGTACTATTCGAGGTAGTAAACCCTTTAAGAGGTGGGACCTAGTTGAAAGAAGTTAGATCATGGGGGGTATGTCTGTGAAAGAAATATTGGTACCCTGGGCCCTTCATGTCTTTCTCTTTTCTTCCTTCCCACTATGAGGTGAGCATTTTCCTTTGCCATGCATTTCCTCCATAATAAACTGTCTTGTCACAGACCCAAAAGCAATAGGCCAACTGACCATGAACTGAAACCTCCAAAATTGTGACCCAAAATAAGCCTTTCTTTGTTAGAAGCCAATTTTGAACTTATAAGGCACCACAGGTATTTTATCATGGTAATGAAAAGCTGACTTAACAGAGTAACTATCAACACTTCTGCCACTGACCTCTTCCTACCTCTTACACAGGGGTAGGAAGACCCAGGTTGTATGGGTCCTGAAACTTATTTTGAGGCTCCTCTTTAGAAGGATGGGCTCTATTACACATACTTTGGTGAATTCTACAGCCACATGCAACCATGTGTACACATTAGAAGGGTTCTTGGAAGGGGCCTTTTTGCAAGTAAGGGGTTCTGACACTCAAGCTTCATTAGCCTCACAGTAAGTCCATCCTGATGTTACAAATACCATCATCCTTGCCCAAAGTAACTCTCTTCCCTTGCATCCCCCAAACAAACTTTCTTACATCAATTTTAATCCCAATCTGATTGTGCTAAATATGAAAGATATGTTTGTAAAAGCCTGGCCAGATCTAGTATCCACATATACCAAGCATTCTGCACATTACATCTCGAAGATCTTAATACAACCATTGGGTGACTTAGTTGTTTATCCATCCATGCAGCCATCAATTCATTTAACAAATATGTCCAAGGTACTCTGCCTTTGAGAACCTAAATATGGAGCCACTGAGAGTAGTTCATGAACAAAGGAAACTATACTACTAAATATAGCTGAAGAATAATGAAAGAGCAAGGATATTTACAGCATCTCAATTGTTGGGTTTATCTGAAGCTGTCTTCAAAATTATGACTGTCTAACAAAGAGCCATTCAGAGTTTTTGACGTCTACATGTTTCTAGATCTTCCAGAATTAGTGAATAACGTCATTTTCTAGTTAATATTAGTTAAAAGTTACAATTTTTTTGAAAAAATCTATTAAATTTACCCTGCTGTGATGTTAAATGTGAGTTTCCCTTGAGTTTATTTTTTTATAAAGTTGCAAGTGAATTTAAGCTTTGTGACTTTTATTACTCTTTGTTAAACCATAAATTTTATCAAGCTAGGGAACTTATTTTAAGGCTTTTACTTTTATGTAGTACTCCAGGATTGGCTATTGTCCCACCTCCCTATTGCTATTTAAGATTCATGTCTTCTCTTAGTCTCAGTTTCTTTTAGAGGTTAAATTGGGGGTGTGGAAAATGATTTTTAAAATATGTATCCCAACCTAGTGGGATCCAATTACTGCTTTTTCCAGGCCTTCTGAAGTCTGCTTTCACTTTCCTCATTTCCCTCTGTTGGGTGGTTCACTGTTCCCTAACCTTCACCTTCTTCTGTCACCCAAGCCTCTGGGGTTGGTCAGTTTTCCATCACTATAACAAAGTACCTGAGATATTTAACTTATAAAGAAAAAGGCTTTATTTTGGCTCATTTTTTTGGAGGTTCCAATCCAAGATTAAAGGGAGATACGTTGCTTTGGGCCTCTTCTGGGTGTGCCCAGATGGCAATGGCAGAGAGCATGTAGCAGAGCAAACTACCAACCTCTGGCAGGAAGTGAATAAGGGAAGACCCTGGGATCCCACAATCCTCTGTAAGGACATGGCTCCAGTGACCTCAGGACCTCCCACTATGCCCACCTCTTAAAGGTTCCACCACCTCCTAAATAGTACCATGTTGTCAATCAAGCCTTTAACACAAAGGCTTTTGGCGGATACTTACCCAAACCATACTACTTCCTTACTCTCCTCCCAACACATCTGGTCTTCCCATCTATTGTCTTTGTCAATCTTATCCTCTCCTCTTCATCTAAACTCTTCCTTCTAGGATGACTCAGTTCCCACTTACCCCATGCCTTCCTGAACTATTTAAACTTAACATAATCTTTTCATTTCATTTGGTCTTAGAATAGTACCACCACTTAACAAGGCATATTTTCTTATTGTCCAAAGTGTGTTGGCTTTGTTTCTGTGTTTATTGGTTCATTCACTTGCTAACAAATATTTTGATCACTTTCTGTTTTTCCAAGTACTGTTCTAGGTGCTGGAGATGTAGTGGTGAACAAGACTGAGAAAGTCCAGGCCTTCTTGGAGTTGACATCCCAGGGAGGGAGGGAGAGAATTTCTTGAAGACAAGGATTCTGCTTAATATGTTTTTGTATTCCCTGAAGCAATTAGTACTCTTAATCCTTGGTATGTTAAAGTTTTCAGGATTTGTATTTGGAGCACATTTTGAAAGACACGAATCCGTAAGGCTGAGAGAACCAAACAATTTTTACTGGAAAGAAATCCAGCTCTAGAGAGTCAGACATCAGTTTCTACATCAGATAATGACT